CCCTCCCTTCCCCCCTTCCCACCTGCCCTTCCACCACTTCCTTTCATTTTTGTCTTTGTTCTCTTTCTTACCTTCCACATTCCATGTTTTTCCCCTGTTCCTCTTATCCTTCCCATTCAGTGCCCCTCTTCTTCTTCAAATATATACCTCAGGCCATGGGGAACAACGCACCACATTACACTTGTCTTTTTCTTTATTTACTTGAATTCTTAAGATACAAATCCCGCACAGATTTTTTGTCTGTCTTTACTTGTACATTTCTTCTGTATTGTTGGTCATCTGAAAAAGTATGTGCCAGAGGCAGGATAGGCATTGTGTTTCTTTTTCTCTACCTGAACACCTTCTACTATTGAGTTTAAGGGATTTTTTCAACATAAAGGCTTCTCCAAGTCATAAATGTGTCTTTCTGCATAGTTCATACTGCATTCACTTTGTGACTGTGTTTAGTTCAAGTTATGCCAGCCATGACCTTACTCTTTTTATCTTTCTTCAGCAGGATAATTCAGTCTCACTCCCTCTTATCTGAAATAGGCTCACTGTGAATTTTTTAAGACACCTCTGTCAAACTGAGTCCATGTCACATATACGCAGTTTTTAAATTAGATAGAGCAGAAGGACAATTTGTGCTATGTAATGCTGCAGAAGGACAGCTGTATAAAACCTTCATGAATGTAATTTAACATGTTTGAAATATAATGTAAAGTTGGGGACCACTGTGATGGGAAAGGTGTTCAGGATTTATAACTTCTAAAGTAACATTGCAATATTGAAAGTGTCCATATAAATCCTCTGTATACTTGTATATATAGTAAAATAAAATATTTTTTCTATAACATCTTTCAAATATGTTCTACAGCTAAATGTTTTATTTACACAGATATGACATAGAATATGAGATATGAGAAGACTTGTGGAAAAAAAACCAACTATCATTACAAGGCACTAATGTTCTTTCTTTAGCTGTGCCTCTTAGTTTTATTTCTACAATGTGCTTGTAATCTAGATACTATACTTTTGTCCCTGAATGTTTTTTAAGCAGTGGAGGTGATTTATCATTGCAAACATTTTCAAAGATATCCTTAGGGAATTGTCTTGGTCTTTATGTTTTCTTTGATGCTGGATTTGTCATGACTATAGCATGTTTTCACCAGTGCAGGCTAGGATAATGAAACACTGGATAGTCAAGCCTATAGTGGGTTTGCAACAGTCAAATATGCCACGCTATAGTCAGGACAGGCTACATTTTAAATGTATATGGAGTAAATGTTTATTCTCAACACTTTACAGGACACCAGCCTTTGGATACTGAAGCGCTTTTTCAGTGAAAGATAAGAATGGGCATACATCAATCTATTGCATACTGTTGACATTTACAGGAGAGAATTAATCTTGTGTTCCTCAGTGGCTGCTCATGAAGAAAAGAACAGAAAATATGTTGGCATCATGTCCTGTGAAATATCAGTAGAATATTGCTATTTTAATAATATTTGAGGATCTGTGTTGTCCTTTATGGATTAATGGCAAGAGATGCTAAGCAATCCCATGGCTTTTTTCTTTTATTTGGCACACAAATAAAAATGGGATTTGAGAGGGATTCCCTGGCCAGGTCTGGGCCTGAAGGCAGGTGTTCCCTGTTGGGAATGGCAGGCTGCAGAGCAGCCTTACACAACACACAGCTCTAACTCTTACACAAAGGTAGTTAGATTCTGGCCTGTGTATGGAATGGACTGCTATAGTTTCTTGGCTTAAAATGAGCAGGTTCTTTGGTTGTGCAATGTGAAGCGTGCAGGACTGAGCACATAAAGGTATACTGAAAGCTTTATTAATGTAGGAAGAAAAGATGAGTTGAAAACTATGCAGTGCTCTGTTTCCAGCTTAATCTTTGGCTGATAATGAGGTCAGTTTATCGACCAGACTTAGAGAGATAGAAGATTTGGTGCTTCGTGAGAAAGAAATGTTTTGTAACCTTGATTAACTCCTGTTTAAAAGTATGTGTATTTGTAATTCTCACAAACAGACTTTTGTCTAGGCTTAATGGGCCATATCTGAAAAACTACCTGAGTAAAAGAAGCACTGGAAAATGCCTGGAGCAGGCCTTGCAGTGTGCAGGATTGATGGTGCGTAACAGAAAGTCAAAGATGTCTTAGTATCACATGTCTTATATCTCAAAAAGTATACAGGTACAAATAAACAGCAGGAATTCCAACAAATGTCCTTAGAAAAAGTCCAAAAGTGTTTTAATTAAAACAATCTGAGGAATTTTGCATCACATCAGTTACAGATGACTTTGTGACTACTTAAAGGTTAAAGGCTCCTTTCCTTTCATGGTCTTATGCAGTCTTATTGTGTGCTTCAACTTACAAAGGCTCCCTGGTATATCAGCATGTCTGAACATGTTTTGCTCAGGCTGGAAAGCACAGCTGGTATCAGCCCAAGAGCAACCTCTCCCATCAAAGGATTTTTTGTCAATGGGTGACCTTCATGGAGAATGCTTCCTGCTGATTTAAAAGAAAACTTTTCTGGCACAGAGTTTCAAAACAATGTGTTTTGTTTCTAGGGTGTATTTTAAAGTATTGTCTTCTTAGGTTGTTTAGAAATTAAGAGGACAGTAAATTATTGTTTAGATTCTGTGTTTTTTGAAGAAGATCACAATAAGACTGGGAGAGCCAGAGGACTTGAAATTATTTTAAGAAGTTTGAGAGTCCTGTTAGACTAGATTGTACTTTAAGTAATAGTCACTTGAAATGTTATATTAATTTTGAGGGAGAAGAAACATTGTCTCATGTTTCCTTTTGTGGGGAAATGAAAGGGACCTAAAATCTTTCCGACATCAACAATTCTTTGATTCTGTAATGTTATTAATGTCTTGTTTCTCACATGTAGTAACAGACTATACCTATGGCATACTATACGTCCTTCTTCTTTTTGTATTTTTTCTATGAACAATATCATATACTTGTGAAACTGCTTTCTTCCTTTCCCTTCCCAAACAAGTCCTACAACCAAAAAGAGCGCTTGCTAATTTTCAGTCTCTGAAATGTACAGAGCATTTTGCAGGAGAGAGAAAGGAAAACTAGTGTAAGCCAGGCAATCCAAATCTAAATGGCATCCTTAGGGAGCTACTAGAATAAATCTAGTATTTAATTAGGTCTAATCAACCTAATTGCCTGGCTCATAAAATGATGGGGTTGAGATAGTAGATGTCATTTACTGTCATTTTTACAAGGCTTTTGAAACTGTCCAGTGTTATTCTTGTATCCAATTCAGGATTTTTATGGTTTGAACAGGTGGAGATCTAGGTAGGTAAAAGTCTGGTTTGATGCTCAGACTCATGGACAATTAACTAATGAACTGGTAAAAAGTGGGGTACTGCAGGGGTCTGTTCTGTGACCTGTCCTGTTTAACATCTTTGTGAATGGTCCTTAGGGGAAGATGGAGGACACAGTTTGTAGATGACACTAAGTTGTGTGTGTGGTGCCTGTTCATGTGCTGGAGAACAGAGCCAGCAGACATAGAATCATCAAGGTTGGAAAAGACTTACAAGATCATCCAGTTCAACTGCTCATCTGGCACTGCTGCTGTTGCCCCTAAATCACTAAACCAGATCCAGATACCTCTTGAACATATCCGGGGATAGTGACTCTACCACCTCCATGGGCAACCTATTTCAGTGCCTGACTACTACAACAGTGAAGATATTTTTTTTCTAGTGTCTAATCTGAATATTCCATATCTTAGTTTTAAGGCCATTTCCTTTGTCTGCTCACTGTAGGCGCAGTAGAAGAGACCAGCCCCCTCCATATAACAACCTCTTTGCAGAGAAATTGTAAAGAGTGATTAGGCCTCCCCTGAGCCTCCTCTTTTATAGACTAAACAAACTCATATCCCTCAGACATTCCTTATATGACATGTTTACTAGATCCTTCATGAGCCTTGTTGCCCTTCTCTGGACGTGTTCCAGAATCTCAAAGTCCTTTTTGAAGTGAGTGGCCCAAAAATTGACGTAGTATTCAAGGTGCAGCGTCACTACTGAGGCATACCGGAGGATGGTCTCTGCGCTGGTCCTGCTGGCCACACTGGTTTTGATAAAGTCAGGGGAACCTGGACAACTGGCAGGAATGGATGGCGAAGACCTAATGAGATTTGGCAACGACAGACTGTGAATCCTGCCCTCAGAAAGGCAGAACCCTACAGTCATGCAGACTGCAGCAGAGGAACTGAGGAGCAGCTCTGCAGAGACAGGCCAGCGTCCTGGAGGACAGCTGTCTGAAGTTGTGTGCTCTGGAATCAGAAGAGGCCAGTGACACCCTGGGCTGTATGAATAAGAATGTGGTGCAGAGAGTGGGGGAAGTGATTCTCTGCTATCATGTGTGAAACCACTCCCAGATACTTGTGTTTGGTTTGGGGTCCCCACTATAGGAAAAACATCAGTAAAGAATAAGATGATCAACACAGATGGGGGTTGGAGCACAGGCCCTAAGAAGAGAGGCTGGGGAACTGGGTTTGCTCAGCCTGGAGACGGATGGATTCTCTGGTGGGACCTAACAACAGCTGCCCATACTTGGGATGTGGTTGCCCATGTGTCCTGCCCATACATGGAGTGGCTGTTGAGAGCCAGGCACTTCCCAGCTGTGCATGGTGGAAGGACAAGAGACAAAGAAATTTGAAAGAATCAAGTCCTGTGCGCAGGATATTGCACTAGAGACCTTCTATGGTCACTTCCAATCTAAATTATAGTACTGTGTCCTTATAAAGAGACCTTTGCTGGAAAGCCCTTACACCACCAAGATTGTTGAGCCTGCCTGCACCTTTGCACTCTTGTAATTGCCATGTAGCAGTTTTATAGAAAAAAATTATGTTGCCTTATATTATTTATTTTTTTATTTTCTTCAAAACTAAGGAGTTGCCCATCTGGAGAAACTACATTGTTTCTGTCCTGATCATTTTCTGAGCTATCCTGCTGACTCTGCATCAGAGGATGGTAGTATTATAGTACTCAGGAGGTGAAGAAGCAGCTAGGGAGGCAATCAGTAACTTTTGATATGTACCTAAAGCCATTCTTTCTGTATTACTCAGATAATTCAGAGTACTGGTAACCCAATTTGAATTGCAGTCAGTACAGAGTTTTGTAACACATGTAGTGGATATATTCACATCTGGTTTGCATCTTTGTCAATGAGCATAGGCACTGTGAACCAGCTGACTTCACTCGTAAGTAAGGAAAGAGTAATGAATATGAGACATGTATCCCTGAGTTAATGGAGGGTATTTTCCCTGTGCTTAGTTCATAGGATTATTGTATTTCCGGAAAGAGACCATGAGTCTTGCCAGTCTTCAGTTACGACATTTTTGAGGTGCACCTCACTGAGTATCTGCAGAAGAACATAAAGAGAATACCTCTTTATTACACCTTATAATTTATCATGCCATTTTTCTTCTCTTTTCTAAAATCTTCGTGACAGTTTCTGTAGAATTAGAAGTCTTACAAAGCATTTTCTCCTTACCTTCATAGACCTTTGTATTGCTGAAAAATCCATGGGTTCTGTATGCAGCAGTCATTGTGCAGGACTTGAGACTAGAGCAGAAAAGAGCAGGGAGGTGAGAAGGCTTTAAGTATTGTTTTTCCCTTGCTCATGCTTTGGGATTTTTTTGTTTTCTGTAGTTTGCATTCATTACAGACCTGGCTGATATTTCATTGTCGGACTAAACATGAAGTTTTTCCTTAATGAGACATGGTCCACTGCTAAAATGCATTTCTGTCATTTGATGTTCGGGTTATATGTGTCTTATATTCTTAGGCAAGTTTAGTTTTCCAGGGGCCAGCTTGCTTTAATCTGCCTTTTTGTTTGTTTCTGTTATTTCCATGCATTAAGAAGATTGGTCTCCTGTCTTACTCAGGAAACCATCAACAAGTCAGACTGTTAACACAGTATATTACAGCATAGCAATGACAGCTGGTTTTCTGTATGTATATTTGTAAAACCCTGCCTTTGCTTGCAGAGCGTAGTTCGTCACAGGCCATGCTGTTGGGAATGGGGCAGAGACAGGCTGACTAATACTAAGTCAGTTGCTGTCTGTGTACAGGGTCTTTTCTAGAACAAGGCATGATCTTGCTGCTGCTGAGCCATGGCAGGATTTGGAGTCTAATATAAACTTGTAACTTTTAAAGGAATTTCATTTGTTGTGTAAAAGTTCACAGAATGCTAGAAGTCACCATATCTGATCACTGTGCATTCTCCTTGTCCTACTGATGAGAAGTTAACTTACTCTATAGCACATGAATGCTGAAATAATAATGAAAAGTGGTTCTTGTATCTCAGCCAGGAAGGGCATGAATAACCCTAGGGATTACTGCAATACATCTGGAGAGCATGGCCACATGCTTTCCAGCTGGTTGGACTTTTCTTCATTACTACTGTGAACTCTGCAATCAAACCTCATTCTCTGTGGATATACAGTACATATGTGTGCAATTTGTCACTGGAACAGGCTTTCCAGGGAAGTGTTTGCAGCACCAAGTCTGTCAGAGTTCAAGGAGCATCTGCAGAATGATCTCAGTCATATGGTTAATTGTTAGGTCATAGTGTGAGGAGCAGGGAGTTGGACTTGGTGATCCTTATGTGTCCTTTCCAACTTAGATATTTTACAATTCTAATTTTACCTCACAGGGACTCTGAGCACTATGCCAGCTGGTTTTATTATGTGAAAGACAAAATTCAATTGGGATATGTTGCTGCCAAAACACATCTCTCTCTCATTATACTCACAGAAATGTGTGTGTTTGCTAGATGTCTGTAGCAAAACAGCTTTTGTCTCTTGCTTTATCCTTTCTTCTAGCCCAGCCATAGCTGAATACTGTACATGTCAACAGCTGTTTCTAATCATTCTATTAGAGCTTGTGTGAAAAGGACAATGAGGTTTTCATAAAGCATGGAGTCACAGGCACACTGTCCTGAAGGTTATACTTCCTTTGGGAGTTGACTCTTGAAACATTTGTAAAAGAGGGTGCGAAGTTATGTGTTTTGGATCTGAATCTCAAACTGATGACTAAAGCAACATGAGACAGCATTTGGTATGGAACATCATGATGGATACACCTGTTAACATCCCACACACTGAGGAAAGCAACTCCCTAATAAGAAAGAGTTACACAGACTGCATCTTATGCTAAGCTTTCCAGTACATTTGTAACGAGGAGAAACAGTTGGAAACAATATTAGTTGCTGCAATAAGTTTTGTTTGAAGTTATCATACTTGTAAGTTTGGGTTTGTGGAAAAGTACATTTTAAAGGCAATTATGTCATTTTCACAAACTTGTGTATTATACATGGAGGGGTGTGTTACTTATGTTAAAGCAAAGATATGTTACACATATATATCATTTGTGACTGTAATGCATATATAGTTTTTTATCCTAACTGGTTTGACTGGAAACCCAGTGAGAATTTTCATGTTTACATCACTTTTATCAATAAGATAATTTGTTTGAGTTTATGAGAGGAAGTATGGATTTTGTTGTTGATGAAAATCACTATGGTTTTGCTGTCCAAGTAGTATTTATTACCACTAAAGCAACATCATAAGATTGCCAGAATATTACAGAGTGAACTAAGCCATAGTCTGTAAATTTCCTTAAAAGATTGCTCTCTTTTGTTTATTTCATTTGGCACTATGGATCTGAGGTATGGTATATGTAGTTATGGATGGTTTGACTGGCTTGCAGAATCTTTCTGTGATTCCAGAGAGGAATAATATAGATATAGCAAATGTCTCCATACACTCACTGCTGAGTTGTGTTAGGAAATTAGCTTGGTCATAGCTCTATTTGTTAATCGTAGAATTAATTTCTTTAGGAAATGCTCCTGACTGGCTGATCACTCAGTGGTCAGTAGTTTTATCTCTTCAGTCATCCAGTGTCATGTTTTTCTCAGTATCTTTCCTCCCAAGTGCAGATTGATTTCTTAAAGATGGAACATGATGGGATTGTAAAGATAGCTCCTTTGTGGGCCAGTCGGCATTGGTTGCTGGCCCTTGGGCAGTGGTCCACACCAGGTCTGAGGTCTTGAGGCTTCCAGAATCAAGAGCTAATTCTACATCCCTCCTAGTTAACAGAATCTTAAGTAGGTTGTTCTTCAGAAACACAAGAAATTGTTGTCTAAAATAAAATTAATGTGGTTGCAGGAACATTGCTGTGATCTTATAGATCCCTATGAGTACTTTCTCTTGTTCAAATGAATCAATTCCCTATCAGGTACAACTCAAGCTCTATTTGCTTCTTTTTGTCAGATCTCTGCACAAATAAGGTTTGTTTTTCTCCATCATTTAGAAATGCTTAAGATGATTGATTCATTCTTGCTTTTGCCACTTAGAGGATTTTACTGACATTGTTTTTTTCTTTCACTGGGAAGAGTTGTGGAAAGCCTAGCAGTAACTTTTCTAGAAATTCTTCAAATGAATCATTCAGAACATTAAAATTTGTTACTAATGAATGGATGAGAGTATTGGCAATGTTTTAGCATATCTAAGAGTATTTCCATACCTGAGGCAAAACAGGCAAGGAGTCTACGGTATTTTCTCCTGTGTCTGTTGCCCATGCTGCAGAGCTGTTTTACCTGCTCCTTATTTAATTACTTACCTTTAAATCCTTCAAACATTACCCCATGGTTTGGGAGAGTGCTGGACCCAAGTTAGTGGAATCTATATGGGCAGAGTCTCAATAAGGGGAATTAATTTCTTAACATTCAGTAGCTGTTTATTCTAGAAGATTTTCTTTCCTCATGTGAATCTGGCTAATTAGTGTTTCTCCTGTAAGCTTTGAATTCCACGTTTGGCTACAATTAGTAGTGATGACTGATACGTGGTCAAACTAGTTGGTTTAATGGACTTTAAGTACAATGTTAGAATTTTTCCTCTAGAAAATAGAATTTTCCTATTGATAGTTCTGCTTAAAGACAAAGGAGAGTCTTCAGGGGCTAGACATGAGGAACCCATGCAATCTGTAGTCTCAGCAGAGATAAACTCTCAGCTAGGTGTTGTTATACTACAGAACCATTTGGCTTCTTTACACAGTGTGTAGACAGCATCCTGTTTTTCTGTATAGATTAAAAACAATCATGAGAAATCAGAAGCAAGAGGATGAAGACATCCATTTTGTACTTTGAAAGTGCTTCTTCCCTCCTTTTTAAACAATAAACATTCAAACTTATTTTTATTTACACAGACCTATTCACCTTGGCATAATTTTTTTTTTCCCTCTTCTCAGGGAGTGGTATTTCTGTCTGTAAGGTACTGAATTTGTTAGCAGATTTCTTGGAAACAACTCTTACAGTCCACATAACTAATCTTGCTTTATAATGGGTGTTTAATACTCAGTAAAGCAAAATAGTTGACATTTTCCTCTTGGTACCAGTTCAGCAACATAATTAAGCACATTTTACTTCTTGGCTCATGAGAACCCCTAGAGATTTGAAGGGAAATAAGAAAGTCTTTTGTAAAAGTTTATTTAAAAAATAAATGGATGGAGAATATAGAAAAAAAATAAGATCTGCAAAAAAGTACTGGTTTTTCTATTACATCTTTGTTTTTTTATTTTCATCCATTTTATTATGTACTCATTTCTTTCTGGCACTGAACCCTTGTATAAAACACTTGTTGTCCTATAAAGGAGAAATTGAAGCTGTGCTATGTCTGAGTAAGTATCTCCCAGCACAAACCTCCTAGGTTGCGTCTCTTCATAAATCTCAGTATGGGAGGCATGCTGAAGCTGGGCCAGAAGGATGTAAGACATGGAAGGGGAAGAGTGCTGAAGAACACAACTCAGAAGACAGGGCTGCATATCCACAGACAGTACTGTAGTGTGAAATCATGTAAAGCTTGTGAACATTCTGAGCACTGCTGCAGTTAAGGAAGATACTGATTCAGCCAAGCCTGAGTTTACACCTTCTTCTGGCAGTGCAGTGTGTTTTGTGGAAGCCCATATGTCCACATGGTATCTATGCAGGGCAGTGCAGAGATACTCTGTAGAGTCCCACTGCTTGTGTTTGTGCCAGCAAAGCACCAAACATGGCCTGTGAAGGAGACCAGCCAGCAGGAGCTCTGTGCCGCACTGATGAGCTCAGACTGCTTCCTGCTTAATAGGTAGCTCCTTCACCCTGAGCTTATAAGTACCTGCACCATGCTGTATTGCTCAGTGTAGTGTTTATTATTCACCTTCAGAGGTGCCGAAGGTGGGTGAGTATCCAGCAGCACTTAAATCTCTAGTGTCTCCATAAAAATTTTATTAACTTTGTAGTCTTGCCCCTGAGGAATGCTGCAAGCTTTTTTCTTGTCTCCTTTCTTGTTTATTCTCATCTTGTCATGTCTGTGTTTTCCTGCACACACAGCAGAAAAGAACACTATATCGTACTTAAAATAAACCCTTGCTCTTAGCAAACTCAGTCCAGTTACAGGTATTCAGTTTGACAGTCTGGATTATTGTAAACACAGTTGATTCGTTCTGAATTTTATCATTAAGTGGAAGGGAAAGAAGAGATAAGTGTTGGTAGTATGATTAGTTCAAAAGGGTGAACTTACTAATAGTTTGGAAAAAGAATTTTACAATCAACTTATTCCTAGTAAAAGGTAACTAAGAGTCATTTCTTGCAGCTAAAAGTGAATTCACTTAAGATTGGATTTCATTGTTTATAATGAGAGCACAAATATTTCATCTGAAATTAAGGGTTTTGCATTATGAATAAATTAACTTCTATTTTCTAAAAAAAAAACTATAGGAATATTGGGTTTTTGCTTTACCTAGCAGTGTATTTAATACAGATGAACAAGACAGTACTTTTTAGCAAACACCACCTGTGTCCGTATTTATTCAATCAAATTTTATTATTATTGTACCAAAGGCTGTTGTCTGTGAGTAACATCTATTTTTGATTCCTTTTGGAAGATCTGCTCCATGCTAAAATCTGTGATTTTTTTAAAAAAAGCTGACAGAGAGGTTTAGGTTGTGATTTTTTCATTTTCTGGAAACTGCAAGGAAGTGTGTGTTTTGTAGTCTGAGCTAGTATGCTTTCATGCTGACAGCAGAATCCATACCATAATAGTCTGACTGAGCAGAAGCAGATGCCATAGACTTACTGGCCAGTTTCATGTCTGAAATAAGGGGCTTCTCATAAAATCCATGGTGGGATTTTTTTAAGGGTGAATTTTTTCAAAAGGAGGGATAGCTCTCAGTTTCTATATGTACAAACTTCAGTTAAATTGAATTAAACGCTTAGCTCTTCAGAGAACTGCTTTTTCCCATGGAATCTCATTGCTAGAACTCTATAGTATTGTCCAGATTTCAGAGGGGAACTTAAAAGCCAAAGTTATACTTAAGGCCTTAAAACCTAGGCCTGCATATGAGGATTCTGCCAATATAACTTCCTAAAAGTGATTTAACTTTCTGGAAAGCAGATATTCTTTAGTGCTCCCAAATTTGGGATGATAACAATCTCAGTGTAACATATATGTAACTTCCTTGCCCTTGATAGTTTTAACACTGGCAGTAATTTCATATCTTGATCACTACAGCAATGACCTATTTGTAACACCTGCAAATGTGAAGTGATAAATCCCGGCTTTGCATGTCATCTACTTCATCTATTTTTTAAAAGTGTATTTGCCATCCCTGTTCACCAGTGAGTTCTGCATTGGCAGTTCACTCCATCACAGATTAGTGAGACTAGAGTACAGTGTCCATCAAAAGGATTCTTGCCCCTTCTGCCCATAGTGGACAGGATTATCACATGAGTTTTGAAGGCAAAGGCAGACTCGGCAAGGAGCTGTGCTGGCTATTGTTACTTTGCTCCCTGAGGAGTAAGGAAGAGGCAGTGGCTTTCTGCAGTCCGTTCTCAGAAATTCGAAGTGGAGCTGTGCTGCAGCTGTTGGCCTGCTTACAAATGCATTTCAGTTCTGCAGTGCTCCCCTGTATATGGCTATGTAGTTAGGCATGAATTTACTTTTACCCTCTGGGACAGAATCAGAAAGTTACCTGTGGGGAATGGGACACAAATTAGGTTTCCATTATTTTATAAAGTGTCTCAAGTACTTTTAAGAGTGCTGTCTTTTTTGTATGCACAAGGTGCTTGTAGCATTTGACTGAGGTCCTGCAGAGCCAGGAAAACTTGATGGTATGAAATACAGAGCTGCATGTTCACACCATGACATACAGGTGGCAACAAGGAATATGATTGACTGTGAGGCCTCACTGTGGATATTGGGGAGCCTGAGTTCTGTGGTGAGTGTTTTAATCTTCCTTCTGATGGTGCAAGTCTGCTGCTAAGGAAGACAGATGAAGTTCAATGAACTTCAGGAGGCCAAAGGGAGATACTAAGCTTTACATTTGTTTGGTTTAGAGGTTTAAAGCCAAGTGTCTGACTTTCCACACAATATTCCTTGGGTATGGTGGTGATTGTGCTGAAAACGAGTTCCATGTAGCTCTCTTCTATGAATCTGTAGTATTGCATGACACAAGCCAGGTAGATTGTATTCATGGATTTATTAGGTAAACTGAGCAAAGGAGAAGCATTACTGGACCTGGACTAGTGTGGATGAGCTCATTAGAGAGGTTAAGATTTGAGACTGACTGGAATGTAGTGGCCATGCCTGGGTTGAGTTTATGATCCCAAGGAACATGGGCCTGGCAAGGAACATAGTCTGGATACTGAGCTTTAGAAAAAAACAACTTCAATTGTTTAAAGAATTAGTGAATATGATCCCCTGGGAAATTGTCCTAAAGGACCAAAGAGCAGACCATAGCTGGCAACTCACTTTTTTTTGAGCACAAGCACTTTCCATCCCAGTGTTTAGAAAATCAAAGTGTGCAAGACAGAAACTGGTGTGGCTGAGCAAGGATCTGCTTCTCAAACTGAGGAATAAGAAGGAAGTGCATAGCCAATGAAAGCAGGACAGGTGACCTGGGAAGAGTACGGAGATGCCAATTGGATGTGTAAGGATAGGTCAGGAAAGCTAAGGCACAGATGGAATAGGACTTGGTAAGGGATGTGAAGAATAACAAGAATTCTATCAGTATACAACTCAGAAAATGAAGGCCAGAAAATAAAGGCTGTGGTAAATGCAAAGGAAGAATGGTGAAAACAGAACTGGAAAAGTCTGAGGTACTCAATGAGTTCTTCACCTCAGTCTTCACTGGCAGTCAGGCTTTCCACATCTCTCAAGTCCCTGAACCTGGAGGTTTCCAGGTGGGGACTAGGGGAGTAAAGTTCTTACCGTTGGCAGTGAAGAGCAGGTGTGATATCACATGATGAAACTAAATAGGTGTGAGTCTATAAGGCCCGATGAGATGCATTCCAGGGTCCTGAGGGAATTGGATGATATTTTTCCCAAGCCATTCTCCATCATATTTGAAAAGTTCTGGTGGTCAGGCAAAGTCCCTGAAGACTAGAAAAAGGGAAACATCATGCCTATTTTTAAAAAGGGGAGAAAGGAAAACTGGGAACTTCAGGCTGGTAAGCCTCGCCTCTATGTCTAGGAAGATCATGGGGCAGATCTTCGTGGAAGCAGTGTTAAGGCAAGACAAGGAGGTGATACAAGGCAGCCAGCTCAGATTTACTGAGGACAAATTGTGCCTGACCAACCTGGTGGCCATATACAATGCAGTGACTACAGTGGCTGACAAGGGAAGACTGACAAATATCATATATCTAGGTTTGTGTTATCCCTCTGACATGGTCCCACATGACATCACAAAGAAGGGTGGCCAGCAGGGTCAGGGAGAGGATTCTGCCGTTGTGAGACCTCACCTGCAGTGCTGCATCTTGTTCTGGTGTCCTCAGCACAAGAAAGGTGTGGACCTGTTGTAGCAGGTCCAAAAGAGGACCATGAAGATGATTATAAGTCTGAAGAACCTGTCCTGTGAGGACAGGCTGAGAGACCTGGGGTTGTTCAGCCTGGAGAAGAGAAGGTTCGGGGGAGACTTTAGGGAAGCCTTACTTTACCTAAAGAAGGATTATGAACAGATGGAGAACAGCTTTCCACATGCGCACATAATGGTGGGACGAGGGGAAATGTTTTCAAGCTAGACTGTGAGAGATTTAGATTATATATTAGGAAACATTCTTCACTGTGAGGGCAGTGAGGTACTGAAACAGGTTGCCTAGAGAAGTTGTGGGCAGCCCACTCTGGCAGTGTCCAAGGCCATGATGGATAGGGCTATGAGCAGTGTGATCTAGTGTGCTGCATACTTACCCATGGCATCTAGTTCCATCCTTACCATGGAACTAGATGCTGTGATTCTTTGACTTTGCCTTTCTGCTAGGGCAGTTTTTGCTGTTGAAACATTTCAAAAGCAAAGAAAGGCAGGAGAAAATACTGAGGCGGTTTATTGGCACAAGTTACATGAGCCTGGAGGCTTCCTTGATAGAAGACTAATTCACATAGTCCTGATTAGAATTTATTGATGGTTCCTGCAATTATTAGTAATCTATTAGTCAGGACTATTGTCAGCAAAAAAAAAATCCACCTGAAGTTGCCAGTTTTCAAGACAGAAACTATCCCTGAACACAAGAGTGTGATTCAGCATACCTTTATTCCACCTGTATAAGTATTTTAATTAAAACATTGCAGGGGTTGGGAGGAAGGAAAACAAAAGAAATCCTAACTTTTTTAGATGCTTCATAGCTAAAATGTCTCCAGATGCTTTTTAAAAATTGATTTCTTCTACTATGATTATTCTCTGTGAGGTGTAGCATACTAGAAAGCAAGAAGTAGTGGAACTTGTCTGTTACCTGTTTTTTTCTCTGCCTTATGGTCCTGACAGCCTCTCTACCAGACGTGACAGCTTATGTCTTATCTTTTTGATGTGTCCTGGTTATCAGTGTTGTGTGTGAGGGCTTAACATTCCACTGCTTTTTGCTTAATAAATTAAAGACTGGGAAGGAGTAACACTGTAATACTTGACCATATAAGGGAGGTGACTGTTTTAGTTCTGCTCCTTGCACAATATACAGTTGAAGCCTTTTAAGGGAAGGTGGTGCAGACAAAGTGAAAACATCCAGAAGCAGCACATCTATTTCATGTTATAGTTGGTGCCAGTGCTCCTGCTGCCATTGCTACTACTGTGAATTTCTTAACAGTCTATTGCAGTTGCATAGATAAAAAGTAAAGACTTAGAAATGGGACTGAAAAGAAGTTAAAACCATTTGATTCATGACTCTTGCATCTTAAGAAATAGTAAGAATGAAGTGAGAACTGACCAAAGGTGAGATTAATTAGACTTCAGAAGTTGAAAAATGAAGTAGTAAAGAGCTCTCCAATATCAGGAAGGAGACCAAAGAGAGAACAAGTGGGAATACAATGCAGTGAGAATGGGGATAGGAACTTGGTGACTAATCAGACAATGAATATGGTGTTAAGAAAGTTAAAAAACAGTTTTGTGGTTTTTGCAGAAGAAATTTGGATGTTGAAGAAAGTGCATTAAAAGAATGAAACCATTAAATTTTGGGTCTGGTTGCAAGTACACTTAAGACAAATTCTGTATATTATTATAAAACAACCAATCCAGTATCTTTAATAAAGGGATAGCAAAATTGATGTAGGCAAACCTAAATCACTTGTGTTGAGCTCAGAAGTGTCCTGGGTGTTAGAAAAAAAATCCAAGCAACTCAGGCAGTAAAATATCAAATACAAATGTTTGTAGGCTAAGATTAGACTGCGTGAAGACTTATTTTTAGCTAGAGAAATTGTCTTCTTGATAAATCAGATGCAGGTCCCTCATTGAAATATTTTAATTCTTTGCATGAAGCAAAACTACAGAAGTGGAAAGAAAAATAGTTTTGTCTTTGTTTCAATCAAATAATAGTCTTGTCTTTGAAATAAAATGTGCTTCAGACCTAAAATCAAATGAGGCTTTTATCAGCTGGAGATTAGATAACACAGACTGCTTCAGTGGCTAAGTAGAGATTTAGAAGACCTAGTGAGAAACCTTTTTCTTCTACAGCCATAGTAACTCTGAAATAAACCATTAGAGAGGTTTGTTCTCTTTTGGAGTGCTGCTACAACACACTATCTTGCAGTGGCCCATGTCGGTCCCACAAATTCATTCAGTTCCTGATTGTTAGTGCCTGTCAGTGCTTACCCTTCTGCAGAGTAAGACTTGCTCTTTTCTGAATTACAGCACCTTGTTTACCTCAGTGCTGGCACCACAGAGAGGAACAGGATTGAAAATACGTGTATCCATGGGACATCAGTCAGTATTTTGAAGCCTGTTCACCCAGGTGCCTATAAGCATCTTTCACACGTCAGCTGATACCTACAGGTGGTGGAAGACGAGAGACAAGGAAATGCCATAGCTGCTTCTCTAGTGTTTCTTTCATTAATACCTATTTCTTCCTCCACGTTAAGACTCCAGAATGAAAGTGATGCTGCAGTTTACTCTAGACTGCATTTCACCGACAATACAAAACTCTAACCAGTCGCATCTTTACAAGTTCATGAGACTTGGCAAAGAAAGCCCATCCCCCAGTGTTGTGACCTTTATCTTTGTGGTGAACAGGCATCACAACTTTGGCAGGATGATTCTGGCTGATTGACTGATCTATTTTTGGAAGTTGCAAGAGTTTCACTGGCACAAGAAAGTTAGCTTGCTGCAGGCTGTTGTATTTGAACGATTTATATTCATCAGGATGTTTTTGTGGCATTGTAGAGATCAGGTTGGAGAAAATTTCCCTCTGACTCTCATTAATGTAAGTCTGGGTAATTCTGCTGGTGTCAGAGGTGCTAGTGCAAAACCACCGTGTCTGGAAGATACCATCAAGGACCATTTTGTTTTATTAGCCTATCTCTGAAAAGTAATCTTTTGTATCTACTAAAAACTGAAAGAAAGTTACCGTAAGGATCTTTAACACTTTAAAATAAAAGAACATGGGTTTTTTTAAATGAAAAGTTACCTTGTTACACGGTTCAGCAGGCTAATATTTTTAGAATTCCAAGGAAAATAATCTGGGCTATCAAGGAGTCCTGTACTCTCTTTTTTCCTAGTTAAGTGACATGTAGATGGCTATGAAGTATGAGGAAAAAGACCTGGGATATTCAGATATGAAATTGTACAATAAGTAGTTCAGTTGCCTGGTAAAGTTTTCCACATTAGTCTGTTAGGTCTTTCAGGAGTATTATTAGAACTACCTGTTATAATTTTTTTCTGCCAGGAAATTAAAAAAAAATTCTAATCTTTATTAGGAAGCTATAATTATGTTCACCTTATGTTTGAATAAAAAGTGGGCAGTCAGTATAGGTAGTGTGGGACTGGCTCTTCAAAATAAAAATGACAGTGGAACTGTGAAACAGTAGGAGGGTAAATTTAACTATGGAACTGTACAAGAATTTATATTCCTATTTTCACTCATTTTGTTATCTCCACATTGAAAAGCATCTGGTCTTGCTTTTTTTAAATTCACAATGCGTGTTTTTTAATAGCACGTCATTGCAAAAAGTACAGTCCACTCTTTGATTTAACTTCTTTTCCTTAATTAGTATTTCAGCATCCTGGGGACATAAATGCCATTTGTTCTGCTATGGGCAGACTAGCTAAGGTTATTCTAAGGTGATAACTGAGGTTACCTTTCAGTTGGGTTCCAAATTTAAATACTCTGTTTCCTAGTCTAGCAAGGGGTAATTACTGCTACACACAGATGGAATAAACTTTACTGTGTAATCTCATTGATGCAGTGAACACTTACACTAAAAGAAGGGCAAGCAAGAGTAGTGTTTGAAGTCAGTCCCTTTAAATGTCCAGGATGAGAAGAACCAGAATGTCCGTGGTTTGTTGTCTTTCTTCGACATAGTTGAACTCATGGAACATATAAACACAGGTATATTAACTGTGTGGTTAGACATAAATAGAATGCCTTTACTTCAAATAGACTAGGGAAATGAACCTATTTATAGGGCATATTTTTTCCCAGTTTTTATTTTGAATTGCTCTGGAAGGATATTCCATCCATTAAGTCAGGCCTTTTAACAGCCACTACCTACAACATGAAAGCTCAGAGCCTGAGGTATTGCCCTTACAGGTGCACTGCTGCATCAGTATCTTGCTGATAATGCATTATACATATCAGAGGATATATAAAATTTACTGCTATCTGAGACCTCTGCAGGATATAAACCACTTGCAATACTAGTTCCAAGACTCACTTCCTGAGAGAAGTAATATCCTCTCTCATCAAGAGATCTCATATAGACAAAACTCATTATATTAATTGACTTTACATTTCTAACTCCCCAGATTTGGGGATTATAGTGTAACTATACAGAAAGAAGAGAAACTTAAAAAGCTGTACATAGTCTTGGTTGAACTGTCCTGTGAAGGTATACTTCTAAAAAAATTGTAAAATGTAATTAATAGACCTGTGTAATTAATAGACCTGTGATTTGTTAGTGATAAAAATCCTTGCTTTGACTAATCAGCAGTTGTTGCAGTATTGCAAGTTCCTGAAATCCTTATCCTAAGCATTTACTTGTTTAGCATCTATCAAGCCTATTAGGAAGCCATATGCTCTGTTAAATAGTGCTGGCAATGTTCAGTCCAGTGGTACTCAGAAACTCATTTCCAAATTTTGGTCCACAGGGATTCTACCAGTCTCAACTGGAACCTCTTCAATAAAAAATTCTGAGTTCTTGC